GTTATCCTCGGGCCCAATAAGGGTGACGCAATGCCAATTTATCTGGTCGCCCAAAATCAGTAGATCAGTTTCCATTTCGAAAGCATTTCTAGTGTACCCATTGCTCTCCACTTGCTCCTTCTTGGCGTGATCTACCGGATTTCGTTTACTAAGGCCCGTATCGTCAGTCGTCCCTACAATTATTGTAGGGCGCCTTTATGGCCTCCTTGATTGTCATAGTTTTCTACTGCTCCGTGCAGAACTCTATTTTGAGGATATGTCACAAACATCTATTTGCATCAAATTGTGCTTGCTTTTGAGTTATACTATATCAGGTTTTATCAGCCTGAAATTTCCTACAATTTAAAAGGAAAACATATCTTTACAATAGGAGAGCGCCGACGCTGACACGGGACAAGTGTAATCTAGAAATTTTTGAAGGAGAGAAAGGAGTATGACAATCAAGGAGGCCATAAACGCGCCCTACAATTGTAGGGACGACTGACGATACGGGCCTTAGGGCGCGTTTATGGCCTCCTTGATTTCGATAATATTACGTCTCCTTCGTTAACGTACATGTATATCCTGCTTTACATTTCCGATATACTGACAGTTCTGGCTTGAGGTTATGTTGTTGTTTTGACGTTCAATGGAAAGCAGAACCATAATTTATAATTTTCTTGCAAATAATGTCGATCACTCAGAAATACTTCGCTACAGCTGTTTCAGAGTGCTCAAAATGCCATAGTAATGTAGGACTACCAAAAATGAGATGTTACAGAGAGTAAACAGAAGAATAGAGTTGCAGCATGAAGCAAAATCAGAAATACTTTATGACAATTCCATAATTAATTACGAATTGGAAAATAATAGAAAATTGTGATTCATCCTGTTAAACAAACTCCAAACAATTCAAACAACTAGATAAGCGGAAAAGACCCACTATATTGAAAATTGTAGTTACCTCTACCTCTAAGTCAGGCTGGGTTAAGCCCTAATAGGTAGTTTTAAGATAGTTTCATTGCATTCATAATTCACTCATCGTTACGGATAGATAGATGTTGCAAGTATCAAATTAAAACTCCCAACTTTATCATGAACTTAACATGTAAGACTAATTTTAGGCAAACATGGACGTAACCTAACCTGCCTCTAAGGTACAGAATTTGATTTGTATTTAAACTGCTAGGTATAAAATTTGGATTTAAATCGCTATCAATAATGGAGCCTTCAGCTACTAAGCATACTTCAGTGGCATCATCCAGAACAAGGAGATCAATGCACTGAGTCTCAAAGAACAATATGTTGTATTATCAAGTGTGTTGCACCATATATTAATGTTGTAGAATGTGGTAGATGAAGAAAAAGTGAGGGCAGCTAAATACAGTTTCTTTTCCAATTTGTTCATTGACTTGTAATCTTAAAATAAAAGAGAAAATCTATTAAAACTGTGGCATAGGAAAGAAAAACATTTACTGTTAAGAAATATCAAAAACTGAACCGGTTTGATATTTGAAACACTCATATGAAGAGCAGATTTTGCTAGTTGTTATAGCCACAGTAAAAAAAAATATAAAGTCTTTGGCTCGAAGGTCTACATTTATCTCTTGAAGTAGTGGTAGATGCAATTTACTTTGTTTCCTAATTGAATGTCCATATCTAGGGGGTCGTTCCAGGTCCATTTTAAGATGAAAACTTCAAATGATCCTATGTCCTAAAAGTTTTAACTTTTGAAACATAGGGTGGTAAAAAAGGTCAAAACAAAGTAAATCCTTGATTATGAATATCTGTATTACCACTTAATGATATTTGGCTTACATGTAAATGTGTTAAGAGACATTCTTTTAATTTTACCTGCCTGTTTTGATAGACAGTGATGGTATGCTGTTTATTTGTCTCTTACTAAAATTTTCAATCACTTCGAAGCAAGAATCGATGCGAAATTATTTTTTTTCAATCTGATGCACGGTTTTTATAAATACGATCATAACAATATTGTTAACATGACAATATCACCATGCAGAGAATTCTTTGGGTGAAAATAGTGGGTCGGACATGAAAAATTGAATACTTTTAGTCTTACGCACGGTTTTCACCTGAAAAATACAATCTATTTCGCGACATAGTGACATTGTCATACTAACGATATTAGGATCATGCAAAGAAACGTTATTTTATTTTTGTAAGCGAATACCGTGCATCGGAGTGAACAAAAATTAAGCAATCAAATTTGCATAGAAGTGACGGGCTTTCAATTAAAAGTTTTTATTTTAAGAGAAATCAGTTGTGTACTATCATTGTCTGTCAAAATAGGCAAGTGAAATCGCTACAAACGTCGCTAGAGTAATTAAAAGAAAATTCGTACATTAAAAATATCTCTTGATAGTACATATATGCAGAATTTTAATAAAGTATTTAAAGTGATATTACAGATCGTAACAAAAAAATGATTGATCTTTAAAAACCTTACCGCCCTGTTTCTCAAAAGTCAAGACGTTTTGGACATACAATTATAAGAAGTTTTCTTCTTAAAGTGGAACCAAAACTCGCCCTCTTAAATGTTGACATTCAGTTGGAAAAACACCTTATATATTTTATGTAAGTAAATTTGAATTTATTAAAGGTTATTGTAATACACTATTGTTGTTTTTCATTTTGGATATGTTTTTTTGACTATATATTTGTTCATATTTCCTGTTATTATTTGAACCTTATGTATTTTGACATACTATCTATGAATTCCTTAACAATTTCATGTATCATATTTTCCAGTTGGTACTTGCAGAATATAAATAAAAGAATACTTGGTAAAGTAAATATTTTTTATTCTACATTGTATGTCCACAGAAATACAATAGGTTCGTTCAAAAATATCTAGAAATAAAGATTTCATCAATTCTTAATCCTTCCTTTCTCTTCAAACAAATGTTTTTTATCTAGGATGACGTTAACTAGATTATATGCTATTTTCTAAATTACAAGCTATGTAAACAGGGCTAAAAGGATATCTAATCAATTACAAAAAAATCTTTATAGTTTGGGGGTACATTAGATCATTTTGGAAAGTTAATTAACTCTAGGTATCAAACTTCTTGAAATATCCAATTTAAATATATTGACTCTTTTTTCCCTCTAATAATGTTCCTTACACTGGAGTTATTGTCTTGGAACAATATCTTGTACCCTGGGCTTGTCAGGATTGGATGTTCTTTAAGCAATGCAAGTAGATCTGAAAAAAATAGTATTATAAGCAATCGTGATTTCTTATGTTTTACTCCTAAGTACTGATATAACCATGAGTGTTAAAATATGTTTCTCATATAGCATTTTTGCTAGATCACTGGATTCTTATTTAACCTATGCCAATAGCTTTGTGAGATTTTGTCAAATGGAAATGTTGATTACAATATTCAAAAAGCCACTTTATCGATTTTCGTGTAACATTTTTTCTGTAACATGCAACATTAACCATTAGACATTTGAGAACCCCCTTCCCAGGCATAACAAAGCTCCTCTTGAACTCAATAGCTTTTAACTTTTATGAATATACAGGCTTATGCCTGCCTTTAATTTACAAATTGCAGTGTAACACATGTCAGTCACAAAAAGCAAATTCACTTAGTTCAGTAAGGTTGGCTGCTTCAAACATGCTTTCAAGTGCCTGGATGCATGAATCCATTCTTAGGAAGATCATTCGCCTTTTTATCCATTCAAAATAGATATGGAGTTTTGTATGCAATATCGCGATGGTTTATATCTGCAAAAAAGTTGCATAGATTCAAGAAACCTTAAAATGTTTACACCTTGGTGTGGGCTACAAGTTTATAATGATATTTTTTAGAGTTATAGTCTGAAATTTTTAGGTTAAGTTTCCCACTAATATAAAAAATACCAGATAGGGCAGGGCATGTTTAAACTCAATTTCAGAGCATTTACACATTATACATACTTGTAGCCTGACACTAGGCAATCCAAAGTCTGACAATTGTTTGTGAACAGCCATCTCCGACATCAACAATGCAGTTGCACTTGGGAAACAATGTTTCTTATCCAACATCTCATAAAGTATGTGAGAACAAACCACATCTGAAAAAATGCGATAAGTATATAAATATGAATATGCAATGTTTAAAATTATTTAACTTACCAGCTTCATCAAGGAACAACTTGGTTGTAAGCTGTTAGGCAAATATATATAAATACACATCCATTTGTACTAAATTGTTGATTTTAGATCATTAATACCAGATATGGGACTTGAAGATACCACAGCCTGACGAATTTGTTCAATGTAGGAAATTATTATTGATTGATCAACACTATTTGCAACAAAATATCCTTCGGCATTTGATTCATCTGTCTGATATTTTTAAACGTCAAAAAAGAAACATAACCTAGCATCACAATTGACTTCTGATTGACAGCAGACCAGAAATTTAAAGCAGGACATACATGTAACTCACCGAAGAAAACGTAATATTATCGAAATCAAGGAGGCCATAAACGCGCCCTACAATTGTAGGGACGACTGACGATACGGGCCTTAGGTTTAGAATATTTTTTTTGTTTTGGTGGGAATTTTTGTGTGAACTTGGATATTCTCTTTGATTCTGAGAATCAGCTTGCTTCTTGTTCCTATAGGTTCTTGGTAGCTCAGCGTTATTAACTATCGTCGGTTATCTACACTGTAGATACCCTCCTACTCCAAGGAGAGGGGGGGGGGGTTGTCACGTGCCAAAATCACGTAACCTTCACTTTCGCTGTCGCTATCCTCTCCAGAACCAGGAGCGTAATCGGGATCCCCTTTAAACGTTCCATCGTCTCGGTATTCCTCCGGCTCCGAAGCTGAGTCTTCAAATAGTTGCATATCTCCATCTTCGCCGTCGGCGTCGCTTTCTGCAAGCATCTCGTCATGAAGCTTTTGAAGATATGCCTGGTTTTGTTCGTACCAGGACATTGCCTAAAATTGATAATCATAAATATCCTGAACCCTAAACGTCTTACACAAACGCCTAATCGTCTACAACAAATAAAATGAAATAGAAAATATAAAATATAAAATACTTACCGATTTACAATCTTTTTCGCACACATAAACAATAACTAACCTAAAAGCGACCTCTCAGAACGACAATTGTTCTTCATATAATGAGCACTTATGCAATTTTAAACGGCTATAGCCGTCAAAGCAATACAAGAACAGACATGCATAAAATTGTACACGTGTTTGAATATGCGCCTTTCACGGGGCATTTTTCTGATTGGCGTATGTTCCAGCAGGACATTTAGTTGGCTACTCCATCAATCTACATGGAATTTGTGACGGTTCAAGCCGTCGTGCCTTTATTAAAAGAAATAGGCTTGACTGCTATAACCGCCATGTCCTATATTAGGGAAAACAATATGACGGTTATAGCCGTACTGTCCGCGAACGTGTGAAAATCTGAGCGACAATAAATATATTATGTTTGAAATGACAAATATCAATCTTGAAAGACCTCAAAATCCGCAGGTGGAAGATGATTGGAGCTAAACTGAAAGCATTCCTCGGGAATCTGCAGTTAGCCCTATGGAACACAAAACTCGATGATTACCAGGGCAAAGTTCAACTTCTGGAGGATCTAGTCATAACAGCACGTGACAACACCTTCGCAGAAATGATAATGTCAGGGAAGCAAGGGATCGGTGGAATAATAAAATAGCACAAAAAAATAATGCATAAATATCAGAACACGAGAAAATAGAAAGTACCATAGAGCAAATAGAACGAGGAGTAACGGTCTGATGCTCGAGTACAAAAAACAAAATCAATATGCCAGAAAAGAACTGGAAGAGCTCATTGTGAACTCTAAACAGAGAATGTGGAAAGACTTACTATATGACTTAGAAGACAACGTTTTAGGTCAAGCATAAAAGATATGCACAAAAAAGCTAAAAGTCACAGACTGTCCATACCTGGATACTGAACAGGACATAAAAACTGCAGAGAGATTGTTTCCGAAGTACTCACACACCAAATGGAACTTTGAAGAAACTCTGGATGTACCAGAATTCACAAGGTCTGGTTGAAGTGACATCCGAAATCGTGCTGCCTGTGGTGAATGAATGCTTGAGAAAACGCGTCGAGGAAAAGAACGGGCTATCTGCCTCACAATATGGTTCAGAAAGGTGAAGTCTGTCACAGATGCTCTTAGTGCAGTGGCACAGCTGGCGAAAGTAGCTGATAGCGGTAGCTACAGTAGTATGAATCGGATATCAACTGTTTGAAATATAAGCGTCTACCAAAAGTGTGAAATAATATGAAATATATCAAACTGACGCGTATCAATTCCCAGTTATTTCACATACCTGCCACATCGCACGCTGGAGCGATTTGACGGTCCCCACCACCCCCTCCACACAAAGAAAATTGTTTGGAAAAACCAAAATATAATCCATATGATTGTAGTATTTGAAAATCAGTCAGCGATGCAGTTGCCTTCAACCTCTGACAGTGGAGCTGTGTTTCAAAGTTAAACAGATGAACATTCATTTTGAAAGGTACTTCTTGGTGGAACTGGTGATGGTTAAAGTGAGGTTATGTTCACGATTTTAGAAGTCAGAAATTGCATAGTTCGTTCTAAATTTCACAACCCACATCAAAATCTATTCAAAGCCACCCAAACTGTTAGTATAGTCAATAGGCTATATAAAAAGAAAAGCCCCATTTCGTCTACACTAGCATCTAACATCGTTTCTTATAAAAATTTCGTCAAAATATGTGCAACGGTTGCAGATATTTGACAATTGACGACACAACGACAGACAAGCCGACGGAAGTGATTAATGCAGGTTTTCGCGAGATTCGCAAAATTCATTTGATAAATGACTGTCGTGACTTGTCTGCTTATACAGGGTCGGCCAATCGAATCTCCCATATTATTGCATATTTGAATACCATGGTTAATGTTGGTGTGACTCTTTGTATTACACTTTGTACACCTAGAACCAATCGTTTGCCTGTTATTACAAAAAGTAGAGGTTAGAGAACAATTAAATATCATGGTGGTTATAAAGCATCGAGCATCTGTGACTTTGAGGTGTCATCGACAATGAATGGCATTAGCTTAGGCCAGATAGCCAAATTCCGGACGTCTTACATAGGAAGAATCTGTTACGACAGTTTGGAGTCACCTATCTTTTCCACCTTCCTAACTATAAAGGTTAAATCATTATTCATCAACTGAATACATGTAAGTGATCATAATTATCAAATAAAACAATAACAAAAATTGATAACAATTATTTAGGCGAATATTCAAACTACGGTAAATTACTTGAACAGACATGTTTGAATTTTGATTACCGGATTTGAGTATGAACTCTCGAGAAGTGTGGTCTTTTATTCTAGTGGTAGTCGAAGTTATGCTACATGACAAACCTATTTCGATGAAACGTATATTCGCCTGCGAGCAATATTTTATTTAAAAATATCTGCATTTTTTTTCTACAATTTACAAGTACTGTCATCGATCCACATCCCATCAATTTTTGTATTGTAAACAGCAAGGTAATACTACGGAAGGACTTTGGACCAGCGTCTAGCCGTTGCTTCTTTTCATTCCATTTTTAATGACTATTCGTCGCTTTATGCCTAAAAACTCAGTTTTATATGAGATTTTTGAGTTGTTTCACAAGCTTACAAACGCATATATTTAAATCAGAATTATCTCTATGGCATCAAAAAATGACATGTCACCCAACTAGCAAAGTAGTGCTATAAGCTTTTGGTAAAAGAACCGTTCAGCCATAAAAGCTCTCTATTGTTGTTGCCTGAACACCAAAATGCTGGCTTAATGTTGTGTGGAATGCAAATTTGCTTTCTGCAACATATTTGCTGTAAAATGAGGTGTTTAAAATATTTTTATAGCATAGTTACACAACACCTTATAGGACAAATTGGTTGTGTTGTGGCATCCATGGTAACGTTTAAAACAAACCCGAGCCTTGTTGTTTGCTGTGCAAATTTACTACTTTAGCCAACAAATTGCTCCCAACGGAAGCACTTATACAACTGTTGTTTAGTAACTGTTAAAGGCTGTACATATGCTAAATATGTTGGTATACAACTTCACCATAACCTAACTTTCTGCTGTCATATTTTAGTTAAAATGCCATAACCAATGTTTTAAGACGCATGGATATTGGTTAAAAAGGTTTTATCAACTGTTCAAACAGAAGATATAGATCTGGTACAAATTCTAGGTAAATCATTCGACTCTGTCGGTATTTCATTTCTGACATTTGTCAAATTGTTGTATAACACCTGCAGGTACCACCAAAATATTCTAATAAACTAAAGACAACATGGACGATGCCATGATTATACACAACCACCCGCCATATTGGGCAAACATTTATTCCTCTATTTGATATTAAATAATTATGTTTCAGTTCGAAATTACAGATATAAAGTGATAAACATAATAGTGTAATTGTGTCTAAATATAGGATTTGAGGAAGATTTAACGCAGATAAGTTCAGTTTTCCATCTTAAAAATCTAGACATACTTTTGATCATTATCAAAATATGAACCAAATACGAAGCCCGTAGAAATTGCGTAACTACTTTGCACGATAATCACAATAAAATTTACTGCGCAAGTAATTCAATAGCCCCATATCATAGTGTAGAAGTTTATCATATACCTGTGTATGAAATTCACAATGGCCGATATGTAAGTAAACAAGATGACTGTATTGTGTTAGTTATATATTCTTTACTTCGTCTATACAATACATAAGAAATAGTTTGGTTGCAATAGAGTAGAAGCACGTAACAGAATGGTTGTACAGTTGACAAAAACTGAATCTTGTACTGACGCAAATGTCCTATAGCGGCTGCAAGAGGCTTACACTTTTGTAACTGTTACCTGCAACCCTTAAACAACATCTTAAATGACTGAAGTGTCCTATTCGGTGTGCCAATTCCGCTTGTATAGCTGTTCTAAGAGGGTTTTGCCAATGTTATTACAGTATAACAATGCTGTGTAAGGAATACAGTATAATCATTTTTGCAACTCTAATAGGAGTGATGATTGTTAGTTGGGCATCCTCAAACGTTGTAGAATTTAGCTTAACCTCTGCTTAGAAAAATACCGTGGATATAGGATGCTTTACATTTTCCAAAGTATGTTAAGTTCAAAATATGTGAAACGGAATTAGACTGTGTCCTACTTCAGGTATTGCTTGTGTCGAAAATTTACATTAGAACCATCATACGTCCAACCTTTTCAGTCCATTTTGTAAGGCAAAATGTCGCCTAATAAGCTATACCCGGGATCTTTCGTATTAAATCATTTGTTTTCATGAACAACGTTTCAACAACTCTTAAGACCTAAGCTACTTCTGAGTTGAATGTGCGGTGTTTCATTCTAGTGTAACTTTATCTGTTGACAGCAATAAAACAAGTCGCGTCTCCCACCATCTATTCCCAGCGAGACAACCAGTAGCACCATCTATTGGCGACCAGAAGACCTAGAAGCCTAGAACGTCAGGATCCAAGCTCGTGATGACTTGGCTCTTCTAGAGGGGGTCAGACACTAGGATAAAGATAACCGTGTCTAGGAAACGGAGTAGTTCAGTCGGGAGTAAGCCAGAGAAGAGCAGTCGGGCGACGCGAATCTTGGCCAGTCATACATTTACTATAAATTAACATGTGTTGTTTTAAATTAGTGCATTAAGGAGTAATGAATTAGTTTACTTATTAAATACATATTTTGATTACACCATAAAAAATATGAACTAACAAACATGTTTACTTTGTGATGCAAGAAGTCTAAGTACCACAAATCAATTTTTTCCGTTAGTTCACTTCACAATAATCACTAGCCAAATAAAAAGCTTAAAGGTTCGCCTTGTGCAGCTTTATTTGCATGAAATGAGGGCTGAGTACATAAAACAAAGGATTAGCCTTGCTGCCAAAGGCGCAACGTAGTTTGCGTCCGCTTTACCTGAAATGAAGCTGTATCGTTCTATCTAACCGTGCGACGAGAGTGAGCCGATCCCTAAATGTTGGGGTCATTCATTACTAGCTCCAACACACTTATTCTACAAGACGCTTGTCAACTCGGGTTACTTTTTCTTAGATTTACGATTTACGATGTACAAGGAAAATGTTTCTTTATACACATCTACCAGAAACCGGTATCTCGGAGACGTTTGCATCTATAGGAAACGATGTGGCAGGACAAGGTGGGTGAATAATGTTCGTCTCAATATTCAAAATGCTACCGCCAGGAAAAATTAATGGCAA